CAATGAAAAAGGCTAAAAATTAAAAAGCAAAACTTGTAAAGCAATGGAAACTGAAAAAGAATAAAGTTGGTGGTTAGGGTGGTCCGGTTTGGTGAGTGATATCAGTGGTTACTATGACTCGGAATTCGATCGCTACTGTTGCTTTACATTAGCTTCTTGGCGCCTGCCATAACAATTTCTCCTTATTTCCTCTACTGTTTCAACAGATCCCTTTCCGTGGTTGAATAATGAGCGCTATTTCCTTGAACAGTCAGACAAATTTCTTTAAATTTTTTCTTTTCCTAACAAATTTCTCTTTATTTCTTCCTCAGTGTTTTTTATTCATCGACAATATCCCAGGAAAAAAAAAACATTCAAAAAATTATCGAAGAACGAAATTTTTCTGAACGGCTTGGAACTCCTCAATGTTTAACGCCTCTTAAAATCACCGCTTCAGTAGTTTCACATTCGTATTTGGTGCCTAACGGTATAATAAATATTTTCATTGAAAGGAAGAACATAACTAGCTGTGACTTCACAACTTAATTAATCAAACATGAGAAACTCTACACAGAGTAATTGACATGTTCAAATACAATCAACTAAAACAGAACGCTGCACAAAAAAAAAAAAAAAATAAACCCCCCACTAAAATTTATTGATATGCCAATGTAAATACAGCAAACGGTGAAAAGAGTGAAAAGTTGAAAGAAAATTTACATGTTAGTTTTCTGTTCTTCTTAAAAACCGCATTGAGAATAATTTCCGCTCAGACCAAACGATAACAGTCTGAATCTCATAAACAACAATTTGCTGCGATGAGCTAAAACATAGAAATTTCTGGAAAGTTAGGAAGAAAAATGTGGCAAAAGATAAACCCAAAAACTACAATAGCTTTTAATGTTTGCAGCTCCAATAATCAACTTTAGTTTCTTCTGATTTTGTTTGTTCGATTTTATTTCGACGCCATCCTGGCTCTGTTTTGATTACATAATGTTTTTTTCTAAATCTGTCACACAGTCATTTTTCGTTGTTTTAAATAACAACGTATCCCCTCCCGCCAACTTTTTCTGCACCATACTAAAACGACAACAAATTTATTGAACTGCAGTTATTTGCCTTTCGCTGTTACAACAGTTTTCTGGCTAAATTGTTCCCGGCCCTTTCATCAGATGACAGTGATAGCTTGAACGTCCTACAACCAAAACGCTGTCTAATTGATTGATCCCATTCTGCATTTAACATCGATATCATCTGGTCTGCAGGCGAGTGGGAAAAAAGGGAGCACAAAATACTAACAACAGTAACAAAAAGTACCGCACAAAACAACGATAGAAATGAAAATAAAAATAAAAATAATAATAATGAATAAAAATAAAAATAAAATAAAATAAAAATAAAAACACAATTTACACTACGAAATCGTTGCTGCCAGCCATCGATGGTAACGTTTGATCATTAAAACAAACTTTATTTGAATTTTCCATATAAAAATTGGAAAAATAAGCAGAATTGTTTTTCATTTTTATTTTTTATGCATCTTAAACCCGTGAAGACAAATGGGCCTTGGCCTCTGACGCAGCATTGATAGGAAGAAAGCAATTTACAGCAGTCAAAAATGAGGATTTCTTTTCTTAGTTTTCAATCAAACGTTTTTCTATTGCCTTCTTTACGCTTCCACAAAAAAAAAATTATTATTACGTTTCTAACTGGTTCCTTTCAAAACGTTCCTCCTTACCCAAATAAAAATCATAGGATAAACAAATTTTAGGTGCTGACTAAGCAAGAAAACAACTCATTTTACAGAGAGTTCACTTTAATGATCTGCTTAATTATTTTTACTCATTCTTATTCTAGTCTAATTATTTAATTCCAAGAAAGAAAATAAAATGCAAAAAAAAAGACCAGCATAAAAATTCCCACAGAGTATCATCAAATAATGTTGTTCTGGACTTAAAATTTGAATTCACATGAATTTCTATGATGACAAATAAATAAAAAAGCAGATGAGAAAAGAATAAAAAGAACGAAAATTTGACGTAGTTGATGATGATCAAGAACGAAAAATTTCTTCATCTTCTATCTTAACTGGTCAAAGAAAAATGAGAAAAAAAAAAGCAAAAAGCGAAGACCAAAAGAAAAAAAAAAGAGGTAATAATAACGAAAAAAAAATTTTTTTTAATAGCTAACAATACTCTAAAAAAATTTTTTTCTTTCCAAAATTATCATCATCGCTTTCTGCTTACCTTTCCTTCTCTTATTTTCTCTTTCTTAAATTTTTCAAAATAAAAACAAATATTTCTTCTCTGAATAATTTTAGAATAAAAGAAAAAAAAAATTGTTTCTTTTTGTTCCAAAAATATATGCTTATATTTAGGATGACTGTATATATTTCAATGTTGCTATGTGCGTATTGCTTGACGGATGATAATCATCCATGAAAGGAATCAGCAAACAGCAACTGTGGTCGTCATCATCATTGGCACCACCACAGATAACAGCACCGATAGCAGTGGCAGCAACAACAGCAACAACAACAACAACAACAATGGCAGTAATGATAGCATCAACACCAACAAGAGCATACAACCGCTCAGCTAAATGAGCAGTAGCCAAAATGAGTGCCCAAAGGTGTACGATAAAGAAAAGTTCGCCAGATGGTTTTTCGTACGGTAACAAAACGAAAAAGCGTGTCAGGAACACTGAAGCATTTAGATTAAATTACAATACCGTATCAGCCATATGGAGACACATGTCAAGCCAATTTTTTGGTCTCTTTTTTTTTTTTTACCTTTTTAGTTCTTCCGTTAAAACAGTGATCAGAAAGTCTATGTTGTTTAACTAAAGGAATTGTCGATGACAGCAACAATTGACTAACTTTTAACCTTTCAACTGGAAACAAGCAAACAAACAAACAAAAAAAAAACTAGCAAACAGTTGTTTGTCTACTAAAAAAACTGTACAAATATAACGTATTATTTTATAAGGTATTGGAAAAAGAACATGACAGGAAAAATTGGAAAAAAAAAATTTTTTTTTCTTCCTACAGAAAAACATCGATGTAAACTGAACGGAACAACAGCGGCAGTAGATTGGAGAATCAAACAACCAGTTTGTTCATCAGACAAAAATTTTGCTTCCCCCCTCCCTCCCTCCCTCCCTCCCTCCCT